CCGCTTCGGTGACGATTCCGAACAGTTCAGACCGTCGTTCCCTCTACCCGTCGCGTCGTACTGACTGTCGCACAGGCTAGCTGGGTAAAGAACTGCGAGTCCTCCTTCGCTGGCCTGAAGAAAGTTCTCAAGCCGCCTCGACTCCCAAAGGGAAGCAATTTCGCACAATCTTGATCGATCCCCACGAGTGACCTAGATTGACCCTCTGAGCTTGTTCGGACCTCCTATCATCGCGATGTCGCCTACTCAAAAGACTTCAGCAACGGCTCCTCAACCGAGGATGCTGCAGCACCTCGATGTTATATGAGCTCGCTTGTCTGAGACGTTCGACCGGTCTCCTAGATCCGAGAAAAAGTCGCCGGACAATGACGAGCCGTCCCCTCCTCTCGCAAAAAATCGCAGTCCTTGTTTTCCGTAGAACGTGCGACGTATTTTTCTTGGCCTTCTGTACTAAGGCTAGTTTTCCCGCTCGTTGACTCTGTCCCTGATCCCTCCGCCTCAGTCCTGATTCGCTCGCTCGACGCCGCACTGCTGTTCCATTCGATATGGCTCACTGAGCACAGATTTGATTTCTTCTTTTCTCGAAAAGGAGAGAGAGAGCCAGCCAGCCATCGAAGCGATGAACACTCGGAGCCGAATCGAGAAATGGCGGCGGCGGAAATCTAAGCCGTGCAAGAGCTTCGGCCGGGGCGAAAGCTCTCCGCTCCCCTTCCGAGGTACCGGCGCCGCGCCCGCCGTTCGCAACAGCGTGGGCAGAACATCTAGAGGCGAAACTTCAGTCAGGAAGTCTCTGATCGGCGAGTTTCACTCTCCGCGCTCCGGGAAAAAATGTTACGAATGCACGAACTTGAGCCGTGATCGCTCTGGAGCCTTCCACCGGCTGCTTTGCGACAGCGAAGCATTGGGCGTATCCACGCGCTGCCAGAGATCTTAATTGACGTCTGGACCGCGAGTGCATTCGGCTTTGGGGCTTTTCGTATGCCGGATCTAACCAAGATCACTTATGGGAGGCTCTCCGTACCCACCCGCAAGTTGTTGGACGGTGGCATCTTGTGCTCTGTCCCCGCCCCGACAATGCCCAGGAGAGCAGTTCGGAGCGGCAAGACCCTTCCCAATCCTGAGTTTAAAGCGTGGGGTATTGTTTTCCCAAATACGCGGAAAGTCTCGCAGAGCTTCTGCTTTCGCCTCTCGCGAACGATTTGTGCTCATAAAGGGCTCCCATTGAGGAGCTAGCAGACTGGCCTGTTCTGAGCCGGGCACGGTCGAGCCCGACTTGACGATTTGCATAAGTCTTCGACGGCTCCACCACAGGCAATGCCCTTAACCACACTATAACAAGCAAGTGAGAGCGGCAACGGGAGCGTTGGGCAGGCGGAGACCACTCCCTCCGACATTTCGTCTACGCTCCTAGAAGGTGCGCTCTTTGGATACAGATGACGGAAGCTCGGACCAAGCTTGAATTCCGCCGTGCCTCTCTGATGCAGCTGTCGCGATGCCCATCGTGCCCTCGCCGGAGTCTCGATAGAATGGAGCTTACGGCTCCTCATATTCCGTCTTTCCGGTAGGATGGCCAGCTGAGCATGGTGCAATGCAAAGGAAGAAGAATCCAGATGTCTCATGAGAGATCAAAAGTGCGGAGAGTGCCGAAGCAGGGGGTGGGGAAAGGGGGGGGAAACATAATCGCATAGCGTCGGAGACGCCGTCCTCACTCGCTTCTTTCCGAGAAGTGTTGCCTTCCGGAGGGACCCTAGCCAGGGGTCGAGACAGTCATTTCTAGCGGAAAGAGCTCAGGTAGGAGTGAGACCTTGCTAATTCCTCTGCGGAGATATTTTTCCACGGGGTCTCATATTTCGAATTCAGTTCCTTACTGCCCTTGCGGGACATTCCCCGAGAAATCGCTACCTTGCACGGCCCTCTCTGCGCAACGAGATCGCTGCTATTTTGTCCTGGTCAGGCACTCCGAGCACGCCCGCGCCGTAGGGATTCCGAGGCGGTGCGGGAGTATAATTCACTCGGGAGAGATCTCGACTTTTCCAGCCGCTTGGATTGCTTGGCTCCGACTTTGGGATCGCTCCGCTTAGATACCGAATCTCCAAATGGGATTCGATTCAGGCCCGAGGCCTCTAGTTCTTTTAAAAGGGTTTGTTTTTATCAAAGCTTCGCCCGAGTTCTTTGACGCCCCTGCGGCTCGGGCTGGAGCCGCCACGACATGAGCGACAACTGCCACGAATCAAATCAGCCGGGGCAGCAAAACAAGTACGCTCGTCATAAAATTAATCACCTAATTAGTTGAATGAGTGATCGAGTTTGATGAGCCCCAACGACGCGGCCCACAAAGACGATGATGTGAATTATTGAATTTGTGACCGATCGGAGATCTTTCCGAGTATCAACGAATCTCCTGATTACGCTCAGAATAGATCATGCTCATAGCTATGAGATCGTCGATTGAGTGTCTCACCGAGAACATTCCCGACGGTCGGGCTCCATGAGGGAAAGTTCCAAAAAGGTCCGAAAAACTGTCACCGGCGGTGCTGCGAGAGTCACTCAGACGAGTGAACGCGTTGTCAACCTCTTATTGCTTTGGGGAAATGGGTATCGAACAGCGAGTAATTATGTGAGCGGAAGGCGAGGGCTACCCACTTGCACAGGAGCAAGAAAATCGGAGCATCTTTGTCCGCTCGAGAGCCGCTTACCTTCACGATCGTCGGTCTGCGCGACTAAGTCTCCATCGGCCGACCGCTTCTCCGGGCCCTCTGCGATGCGTTCCCGATTGTAGATCCAGTCTGCGGCCGCATATCGTCTTCGCTTGGGGCTTACCTAGAATGCTCGGCTTAAGCCTCTTATCAAGTCTGTAATTCCTTTGCACCGCAGCGAAGACGCGCCGCCGATGGGGAGCGACATGTTTTCCACCCCACAAACTCACTCAACTTAGTCAGTCACCGGCTTTTACCCCTGACTGCCGAAGAGTCGTATGAGATGCCGAGCAACCGATGAGTTTCGCTTTCATCGCGCATTCCCCGTGGAAACAAATGCGGCTGTAAACGAATTCCTAGCGACTATATGCTCAATACCCGTTTGGATTGAGATCGATACTCGACAACTACTTCATTTATGTAAGTGTGCGCTGCATCCACGTTCTAGAGTGAAAAGCACGTCGAGACTCCTCGAGATCTTTCTCTTTTATTGAGACGAGCCGCTTGATGAACCGATTCGCGGTCCTCCTTCAACTTATAACATAAATGCTCAGTCAATGCCTTCGAACTACTAATACCCAGCTCGCAGGCTTCAATCGAGATCAATGGAATGGCTGCTCTCTGACTTTCATCCATCGTACAACACAAATACTGTCGAAGACTTGTCGAATCGTGTGGTATACTCATATTTGAGTGATTCCGATGCCCATCCTTGAATTCTGCTCTCAGTATGAATATGCGATTACAGAGATCAGCGCTTGCCTGTAGATCGTTTCCATATTCAGAAGCACCCGGACTAGAATTCCCGTTTAGATTACAAAGTCGTCTCTTGTTACAGGTATTGAGTATCTCCAGCAATTGAGACTTCATCGATACTCCCGGTGAGAATCTCCCTCGGTCCCCACAGTCACCATTCTATGAGCTTTGAGACAAACGTCTAGACTACTGAATGATATGCACGTACACTCATTGTGAGGAATTGATGCGAACTTCAACGAAACGAGCGGCGAGCGGGTCGCTGCCCAATGTGGGTTTCAGAGAGGATTTTTAAGCCCTTCCCTAAGAGAATAGTCGTTCCTCATGTGAGGAATTCGTCGAATGAGCCCTCATCGGCCAAAAGCGGACATACGAATGGACCATATTGAACGGATAGTGCTCTCATTCAACTATCGTGGAAATTCGGCCAAAGCTATGCTCTCTATCCATTCGGAACATCAGAACTCACGATCTTAGCGGTGGAGGGCCTTCAACCGAGTGACGACGTTGAAGCACTCGTCCACATGGCGTGAAACCAGGGCGGAGCCGCGTGCTTTGGATTAATTCAATGGATTCTTGGAGAAGTGGTGAGTTGGGAGTTTCTGGGAACAGTTCAGATTGCGCTACCGATCTTCGCGGATTCGGAAAAATGGAAAACTGGGTCGATGTCGGAGAGCATCATAGAATAAGCACGATTCCACTACGTATCCACATTCAATCACTGATGCTGATGGGAATTCTCACAATGAAATTCAGAACGATGGTATTCGTGAATCTAGACAGTCGAGTCTGCACGGGATTGTTGCCTAGGGAACACCAAGATTGCCGTCCGTTGTGCGTTCCCGTCTCAGCTTTGGTGGTTCGGTTGGAGTGCTCGTGCAATTCGTCGTTCCCTGGCTCCACGTTTCCGTGATTGAGGCGGCTTCTCCGAAATTTACTGCTGAGGCTACTCCAAATCTTGGTTCTGTGTCAGCGGAGAGAGCTTATCGAACGCTTCCTCCACGTTTTCGTGTCCACAGATGCAATTAAAATCGGCAACTATCACAATAATCTCAATAATCCAGATTGTTCTGGGAATAGTTTGTGGAGCGCTCAAACTTGCCCAGGAAGTCCCCTTCCGAGTTTCTCCTCGGATGGCCTCCGAACTCGGAGCAAACGTTGATATTAATTCTTGAATATCCCTTCTAAATACCTAGGATACTAAGCAAGCAAACGGTTATCGAGCAGAGTTTCAAGAATGCTTCCGATTCCGCGTCGCGAGGCGTGTGCAAGGCTCCGCCTGCGAGAGCCGTCGACATTCGTTCCGGTCTCAGTCCGGTAAGCTCACATCGCTCGCAGGACTCGAATGAAGCGAGCCCCATGAACGAAGGCGAAGGTCTCAGCTGCAGGCAGTTCGCAAGAGCATCCGGCCTCGGCTGCCTGAGCTTTCTTAGACGCTTTTTGGCTCGACCGACGGACGGATATCTCTGTCCATTCCGCTCCGTTTGGCAGGCGAGCAGCTAAGCTCGCTGAATGAAGAATGATTGAGTCGTCCCGAAGTTTTCCAGATTACTCGTGTTTGACGATTTCCATGTTCCTCGGTGATACGTATGCGACGTTTCTAAAATCGGCTCGAAGCTGTTGCAGTGTTTCATGGGCTTCCTTGACTTTCTGCTGCGCAGAAATACGGGTCTTCCTCTCTTGCTCGAGCTCTTGAGAGAAGGCGTCTGCGAGGAAGCAAGATTTGAAACCCCGGTGATTTCATTCACGCCGGAGTGCCCCCTCCCCGAGTGAAGGAAAACTTCTCACGAAACTCACCTCTAACAACCTGTAGTTGCTTTGCGAACGCCTCCTTGTAACTCGATTCCTTCCGTAACTGTTCCTCGAGGGTTTCTCTCACAGAACCAACTTCTTTCTCTGCTCTTCGTCTCCTTTCCGTCTCTTGTTGTAGCATCACGCGAAGCTCTTCTGCAACGGGATTCGGTCCGTGATTTCGCGGGTCCAATAGGTTCGTCACGTTATTCGCGTGGCAATGATTGTCGTCCGCGAGGTTTCGGTGCGCTTCCGAGTTCGGAGAAGCGCAGAGGCTGCGAAAGAGACACTCCGAGCATACCTTTCGACAGGTGAGCGAACGTTCTCGAATTCCCAGAATCGAGATGCGGCAGGAAGGGCGAGCTCGTAGAGCGTTCATCCGACCTCACGTCCAGCGATGCTCCCGAATCGTCCTTCTGCGGGGAGAAGAGCTCGCAGTCAGCCAACCAGTCAGATTGTGTGGGAGAAACTCGCATCGCAACAATCGCCGGAGGAGAGGTTGAACAATCTCCTTTGTCCGGCTTGATGGACGATCTCGCCTCAGAGTCTGTCGCACACGACATCATTGAGTATTTCGGGACGGAAAGCGAGAGGAGCGCTCTCTCAAGATGCCAGCAAGCTCGGCGCGAAGTCTTTCGCAGTGTATCAATTCCGAATCAGTGAGAAAAGTAAACCTTATTTCTGTTCGTCATTGCTTGAATTCAAATTCGTACCAGTCTCTAGAGAGAGGATCTCATTTCGTCCCTATATATACTCGGTGCGACTCTCCAACTTTCTTCTCCTCTCTCTGCTCGACATAGTGTCGATGACGACCGCCTGGCGGACCGACCGACGAGCCAGCCAGCCAAACGACCGATGTAGGAGGAGGTGGCGACGAAGGCAACAGTGGTGTAGTAGTAGATGATGATGGAAGTTGGCTCACTCGTCGTGCTAGGTAAACATTCCCTGTATTAGCAATCCAAACCCCCTCGGATCAAAGAGGAAACTCAACGACCGCACAGGGCAACGTGCTATCAGCCCAGTAGAGTATTGAGCGAGAAAGCTTGGGAACGTCCGCGAATTGTTACTCGAATGAGAAAAAGTGAACGCATCGCCGGAAACCTCGACCGTTTTGGTGGCACGCTGCTCCTTCTTTTATTCAACTAATGAAACCCGGGGAGCAGCGTTGGTCGGCGTTACACACTAATATGAGCGTTGTTCAGAGTCCTAATCCGCAGGATCATTGCGTTGAGCATGAAAATCCGCCCCATCTTCAACAATTGCACTCTCGTCCCTAAGCGCGCAGGTGACTGAGACTTGGCGGCTCAGCTCGCAGTATCTATTGTCCGGGACTCGACGGGAGTTAGCTTGGCCGAGATTGGAGCCGGACGGTGCAAAGCTTTCCAATCAGCTCTTCTGATCAAAGTTGGATGGAACCTTGTTTAAGAGCTCGTCAATGGCAAACGGGAAACATTCCGCTTGGAATAATTTTCTGCTGTAATTGAATTTCAGCTCAGTCAGACGAGCGGAACCTCTCTATTCAGACTTCGGGCAGGCTCACCTGTACGGATGTTTCGTCTTTGCCAACCTCGAGGGGGTCCACTTCGTCGATGTCCTCTTCCTCATCTTCTTCGACGTTCACTTCGACATCGGGCTCATTTTCGGATTCGTTTGCTGTGAGATCGGTCGAATTCTCCGCATGCACCGGCTTGCTTTCTCCCTCTCGCGCGGTTGTAGTATCACATTGAGGACTCGAACTGGCCCGGCTGGAAGAGAACACATTTCGTCTCCTAAAACCTCATGAAGGATCCGTCGATTGAGACTGGAACTCGACCACAATCGAACGGAAACTGGCGCACGCCCGGAATTCTACCTATCCTGATCGAAAGAAGCCACCGATGCGGATGCATATATGAACAGAGCGTCATCACATGAATAGATAAATATTTGCGCAACCACTGTAAGTAACTGATGAGTCGGGGAGTTGTTGGCTATTATGTTGATTGGCCATTGATGGATGCACACGCAGCAGGATAGATGCTTGGGCGGCGCACATCATCACATACTAATGAGCCCAAGTAAACATGCAGCGGCGAGCGCTACAGTGACCGCGCATTTCTCATTGGGGTCGTCGGTCATTCGTTCAAGTGGCTAAACCAACAACAAACATCTACCGGACCGCAGCATCTCCGTAGAGCTGGCATCGTTCATGCTTCCGGTGGTCGGTTCGTCGCTCGCTGGACAACGTCCACGGAATCGCTCCAGCGGTCAATGCTTGTTCGGCGCCGATTATCTCCGAACAACCAATATTGGAACCTTTGGAAAGCTCCAGCAAGATCATGTCAGCGCGCCACGACCGCTCAGTCGGGCAATGCATCCCTCTGTCATAAAAAGGAGCCGAATGCGAAAGTGGCCTCGGGTACTCCGAATCCGCGCGGATGGTGGCTCCCTAGGTATGTTCGGTGGCTCCGCGGTAGAGATCGCAGCCGCCGAGGCTCAATAGGTGGCATGGTGTCTGGACTTGAATTCTTCGTGGAGATCGTGAGTGCTCAATTCGGTTTTCATTTTCTTCGCACGAGACGGAGTCTCGGAGTTGCTTTTGTAATTTTATTAAGTGGCTCCATGTTGTTCCGCTTGTTTGCGCTCTTTTCTCTCTAGGGCAGTCAGCACAAAGAACAGTTTGTACGACGGTACGGAGAGGCCAGCGAGCAAACAAACGATTGATCCATATCGAGCCGGAGAACGGGGCGTCACAACTGATGCTCGTCGCGTAATGGTTCGAAAGGAATTGTTTCTCTTCTCGGTCATCGCATCTGGAAATCGCATCGACGGCCGGATGTTGGATGATCTCCTACGTCAAGAATCGGATCGAGTCCACTGTCGGCATCGCTCGTGGTTCCCCTCCCAAATCTGGAGTAAGGATCCCTTTCTCCCATGTGAGGGCCTACGTGTTGGTCGCTTCATGAAGCGTATGAGGATCGGAAAACGGGCAACGGAGGAACGAAAATCTATGGACCGAGATAGCCATACTTATATAAAGCGCGGCGTCTGCAGGGGGAAACCGCCGATCGAAACGCGTGAAAATTATTTAATTGGAGCTTTTAAGAAAGCCGCGCCGCGGTGATTCATCTGATTTCATGTTATGGCCCGGTAGCTCAAACTTCTCCGGAGGCGACATTCTCGCTCTGGGACCGAAAATTTACCGACCATTGCATGGGGGCATCGCCACGATTTCGGGTGTTGTGACTCGCGCTCCCTCATCACCGCCAAGTCGGTCTCAAATACGAATGTGGAGAGTGGCAGTCGTTCGTGGCGTACTGAAACTCACCTTGGTGACTGACAGATATTCGTCGGGACAGGTTTGAAAGCTGAGGCATACAGAGACGGTGAAGTTGAATCGGATCCTGTATTGATGAAACTATTTTGTCCGAGGGGGGACTGCCCCAGAAGGGGAGTCGCCGCATTAGCATGCCGTCAGCGAACGGATTTATTGGTGGCTTCGAATGCGGGCCGGCCGAGGCTACGTGCAACGTTGAGATGGAACGGTCATTGATTATTATTGAAACGATGTCTGGATGAAAACATCATCTGAATCGATTGATCGCCTACTCACTTGGCAGACAGAACAATGGAGGCATGGGAGGCATGAAGCTATGATCAGAATCGGGATTGAAGTTGAACGACGAGATCATCGAAGCGAAGTAGTCGGTTCCGTTTTTGGCGTTCATGCCGAAGTTCATTCCGATCTGCGAGGTTTTTCGAAGTTTAGGTCGGGACGGCCCCGCATGATTTTTCAAGAGATTCATCCCGGCTCGACCGAGAGTCCGAGCTCGGGTTGCTCGAATGAAGCCCCGAGGGACTGTAACGTTGAAATAAGGCTACCTGAGTCGCTGACGCCGCTAGTGACTGATCAGATAGAGATGTCGTGGTTGAAGCCTTGACTTTTTTCGCGGCGGAATGGTGACTTGAGTTCGTGTCGCTGACAGAACCACTGTTCTGCGAGGAGGAAGAAACGATCACCCGCTTACGACTGCCCCCGTTGAACATAGCTTTGACGTCCTGGAATTGAAATGTTCATATCATCAGCATCTCGAGGTCGGGTTCAGAGCTTCGCGACGCCACGCTCAGCTCGTGCGTGCAATCAACGTCAAAGTCACCTCCCACGCGTAGAGAACATCGTTCAATGGGTTGCCCGCTAGGCGAATGTGACGTCGCCACGAGTTGTAGTTGGCTGCATCCGGTTGGACGTATTTCGCTTCAGGCAGACGATGAGAGTGAAAGATGAATTTGTTCGGAGAGAAAAATTGACCGCAAAGAGCGCACTTGATGCATTTCGCTCTCGAAGAGTTGTATCTGGAAGTTTTGAGGTTTTCCTCAACGAGGCTCGATGGATATTCTCGTTGACGTTCGAAAAACTTGGCATAGCATGCTCACCTCGACGGCACGAAGGATCCACGACAGCCCCAGGCGCAGGCGTGCACGACATCGAAAGAGAAATTGTCGGGCAGCTTGGGCGGAGATGATTCGGTTAAGAAGCTCTTACACAAGCGCTCGGCCTCACGTTTCGTTATCATGCCGCATCTGGAGAGATTCCGTGAAATCATCAATGTGGAACTTGAACTCCCTCGGAATGAATTCGAGCCCATTGTAGGCAACGGGATCCCGCAGGACGGATCGACCGAAGCAACCGAGCTCTCTGCGATTATTTGAACAGACCTTCTGGAGGAGACAGGCATAGCCCCGGCCCTTCTGAGCAGCTCCAATTGAACGGGCGTGCACTGCACACACGTGATTCCGAGTGCAACGCGACGATTGTGAATCTCATTGTAGGAGAAATCCTGGAAACCACAGTGGTCGAGCGCATATTTTTCGAGCATCGACGCCCCTCCCTCCAAGCCTGATCGCCTCCGCTCGTACGAAAACAAGCAATTATACCTTCAACAGAGTGTTCGAGATTTGCGCAAGCGATAATCGCTCTTGGCCATCGATGAGCAGCGCGACTATCGGAATCCCATAGAGTATCACGGTGCGCACCTCCGACGGGTGACCTGCGGCGAGATTTCCACCACGAATTATTCGTCTTCCAGATTCTTTGTCGCTGCGCACGCTGCTAGATCGAGTGTCGCTGCGTAGAACTCACCAGAACCGTTCTGTGCGTTATGCTGCTGAGTTGAAGACGATGCTTCGACGCTGAGGGCCGATGGTGGAGAGCAGGCCTCGATTTTCCGTCCCCATAGGAATATTGCAGAATCACCTTCAGACGACGATAGCGGGCTTGAGCTCTGCAAACGCAAGTTGGTAACAGACTCTGTCGTCGAATTCTTCCGTGGTCGTTGAGCTCTGAAATCGGAGTTCTGCGCAGCAATGCATGGCTCGCCGCTAGTGCATTCGCGGCGGCTCCGCTTGCCCGCGAAAATGGAGATTCGTCGTTGACGAATTCTAGAACGCTGCGAGTTCCCGCGCCAAAGGGAGAAAACTTTTTCAATTACTCTCCTCGAAAATCTGATCAGTTCTCCACTGGGTTCAGTCTGCGTTCTGTCTCCGTGAATGCAACGGATAGGTACTAGTATCGAGACGATTTGGGCTCAATTTCGGAACACAGGACGACGAGAGCTTTCTTTTTCGTTGAGACAGGTAGTCGGTTTGTTGCGGCTTCTCGGCTGTATCGCATCGCTTACCACTAATCTGCTTAGAATAGCCCTACTCCCTGCAGCGGTGGGTAGAAAGCCAAAGCAAGCGAACAGAGCTCCCCCGCTCCCCGAAACCCCCGGAGAGTGAGTGCTCGACAGAGTGAGTATCAAGCTCCTTTCGAATCGTTTGAGGGAGATTGGATCACCAAATTACTTGGCCCAAAACAAGTCGTGGCTTCTGCCGGAGGAGCGCTCCTTACTCGGAACGCCGACTCACTCGAGAAATGAACTCTTTTTTTTTCACAGACCGTGTGTATTTGTGTGTCCAAGAGGTCGATACGCTGTAACACAGCTGATTGCCCCTGCTGACTGCTCTGCACGGAGAGTGTTTTATGCGAAGGTTTTCGCTGTATGACTTCCACGAGCGGTGAGTCGGACTCTGCCACGGACCGGGTGCGGGGAAACAGAATAACGATACGAGATCGGCGAAATCGAAACGAGACGCCAATTGTCATCACCGTATTGGATCTCCACTCCAAAAAAAACTCGCTGCTTGTGTAAACACTCACTCGACAGATATCTGAGCCGGGGGATTCAACTGGCAACAAAGAGGACGACCACGGAGGCAGGCTACAGGCTACGCGAAGGATCGAGCGGCAGGGCGAAAGGACCCGCGAGCGGTTGGGTGCAGTACAAACATGTTGCTCTGTGTTTGCAATGAATACGACCATTGGATCATTGCGGGTGATCGTGATCGACGGTGATCTCTTCCCATCATTGGTCCTGGCCGCAGAGAGCGCTGCTGCGGCTGACGCAACCAGACGATGAGCTCAGTCTCCTCCCTGTTCCGCGTACATCCTGATCACAGTGACGGAATCGTCGGGAACAGGAGCGTTCGTAAAGATCTGGATTCCTCGAGAAATATCCGTACAAATTCGTGAGGACTCCAGCATTCGGCTGGAGTCCTCACGTTGCTGCACGAAGCAGCAACGACTCGCAGCCCCAGAGATTCGATAGCCGAGTCAAATCGAGGAGCGTATTCGTCGAATGACTCCGAGTGAAAATGATATTCATCCTGGAAGTTCTCTGTTGCATACCCCGCAACGTTTCGTGATCATCTCCACGGCAAGGATGAATAAAATGTTCGGAATCAAGTCTCGATTCGAATGCGCTCATCCCCCGACAATGAGAGAGGCTCAGCCGACTTTAGAAGGCCGAGGGCAGAGGGAACTTGGTCGACGATTTCCATTCCATCGTCCCACTATAGTCGTCTTGATCGACAGTGGAGCGCTCTCGAGAACTGAGTGTGTCCGATTTCAGTATCGTTCAAGCTCCTCCTCAAAGCCGGTCGGTCTTCATTGCATTCTCGCGAAAGCATATGTTCAGTGTGCTACGGACTCGCAAGTCCTCAGAGAGTCAAGCGTTCTGAGATCAAAGTAGAGCAAACAACTTTCGATATGTCAATGTAACTTAAGAGCCTCGAGTGTGAGAAATGCCAATCGTGAAAAGGATCTTTTCAATGCGCTGTAGTCGTACAAACGTGTCTGAATAGCTGTCGATTCGTCTACGAGTTTCATCGCAGGTCTCAGTTATCGCACGAACTGCGCTCCCGCGAATAATCGAGGAGTCCCTGATAGCGCTAGCGATGGAGACTCGAAAAAATATTCGCGAAGCTGACATTAATCTTCCTGGGATTCTTCTCGTTTCCAAGCATAAATTTCTCAGCAGCCGAAGCCGTGGAACACCTGCAAATGCCTACGTCAGAATTTCCTCGGAAAATTCGGAAGGATGAGTCCTTCTTCTTTCGATATTCCGAGGTGCCCGATTAGAAGTTTGCAGTTGTCAATGTCAGTGAATCGCATCGATACGATATTGAGGTGAGTAATCGGCAGCAGCGATGAGCCAGAGAAAAAGGCCCTGCGAATTCGGCGGCGAAGTGTTCGTCCGCTTCGAAGGACATCGCGGACACTTATTGGGTAAGTTCTCTTCATATTCCATGAGTCCATCTGTAGGCAGCATGTGCACACGCTCCTTGCGATGCTGAGGGTGGCTCGTACCCCGTAATGGCTTGAGACACTTTGGATCTCCCTACCTAAGGGAAGGGAAAGCAAGCACAGAAGCTTCAAGGCACCAGCTCGAAATTCATGCCTTACAATTCACGACCTATCGCTTTCGCGACAAGTGTAGCGTCCACTAAGCGGGTCCGCCCACCGGGGACTCGGCAAATCGCGGTGAAGTCGGTGAAATCCTTTCTTTGATTCTATAGCACGAGAAAAGGTTTTCTGAACTCACCGAGAGATTGAGGTGAGAGGAGTTCTGCTGATTCGCTGGTGATGACGACGGAGAATGAATACGGGTTTGACCCAGGGGAGGACTACAGTTTGGCGGGCTGGCTTGCTCAGTTCGATGGTGATGAATTCGATGTTGTCCGATACTTAATGCAGCAGGAATTCCGCGGGGCCGGATGTCAGCGAGCAACGAGTTGACATCCATGCCCGCTCACCGATGTGCCAGTATCAGGTCGCGATTCGTTGACAGAATGAATTTGATCACAACGGCACGGATTTGCACGAGACCTCCTCCGTTTCCTACCTCGACCGGATCGAGACGATAGCAACAGCTGTACCAAAGCGAGGATGTCGACGAACACCGTTGAGGCCGAGTGGTAAAACGAGCACGAAGTCGCTCCTTCGACAACCACTTCACTGCTCCACTAGCGAGCAACTTCCACTAATCGAAAAACTCTCGGCCGGCTCGGGACGGGCGGAGTCACGCGGTTCGCCAGGCCCGCCCATTGAGCGCTCGTTCCTTGCGATTGGCTCGGCAGGAAGCGAGGGGGCGTGCCTTGGCACAAGCTCGGGACAAGCATTGTCAGGAAGCAAGCAAATAAGCAAGGAACGGTCCCTACAAGGGAAAAGAGACCGACAGACGTCCGACCATTCAGGCAGTCGGTCGTGCAGGAAGATGCGTCTGCCAGTCAGCTGAGGGGAGACGGGGAAGTATCATCACACCCAAAAAAACTACAAAAACGAATACTTTTCCTTACTGGGAACGAGCGAAACAGTTTTCCGATCGGGTCCCGGGAGGGCATTTCGCTGCGAAAGAGGAAACTCCGAGAGAGTAGCGAGATTCTGCCCGGAATCGAGATGCCTCCACGCAGAAGTTTCAGAAATCTTTCGTGCGGGCTTTCCCTCTCCTATGCCGAGGACGGATTCGGAGCCGCCGTGTCCATCGATTCCGGAACTAACATGGCTTTTCCATCCGCGAAAATTCGATCAAGCGATGGATACGACAAATATACTCAAAAGGGACGTCGATCCATTCAGGTCCCCGTGAGGACCCGGAAAACGGTATCTCTAAGGCATTGATCCACGGCCGGGATAGCTTAGCCCTTTCGAGGTACGCACACCACTCGAATGCGTTCGAGACGTTCAATTCTCTTAGTTGTGCATCGATTCGTTGGTCGAGAACAATCACTCGGAGTCAACGAGTGTCGATGCAGAGACAATCAACGCTCAAGAGGGGATTGCCCTGCCATCAATCCCACGTCCCAGCTAAGGAACGGGTGGATTCTTATTCGAGTGCAAGAGTTGCTTCGAGTCGTCGATGTCCCGTCTCACCGATCCCCCGTTCCTTCCCGCCGCGCCGGCACAATGAGGAGGCGACTTCCGGCGGTGGATGCATGCATTCGTATCGAGCACCTAATCGAGCGCACCATTTGCGATTCCCCAGAGGGGCGAACCATCATTCGCGGCTCTCATGGCACAGCAACAGCGACACCAATAAGCCAGAACAGGACGCGGAGCCGCTGACCACCTTCTAAATAATTGCATCTTCGGAGCGGCCGTGCGTCGTGGACACCAACCACTCCCAGGAGGAGGAAACAAGGATCAGCTAAATTGAGTACACACTATCCGAGCATCGAGACAAGCAGCCTGCTTGCGAGCCGGCCCACAAACGAGCGAGTAGGCAGCGGAGGAGCAAGCAAGTAAACGACGACGAACTTATCGGCAGAGCAACCCTAATAACCCTGATACATCACAAGTCACACTTCGCCCAAGTCGAATCAGGTGAAAGCGATAGTCCGTCGAGGAGGCCACTCTGACTGAGAATCGCCACCGAGCCATATCTATCTGCTTAATTGGAATGACCGCAGACCGAACTCTCGCCGGAAGCGTCCTCGAGTTTTCAAAGCGGGACTACAGGTCGATTCTTCGTATGTTGCATTTCGATATGATCTGAGTCCTGTCAGCCAGCGCGAGAAAGGTCAGAGCCTCGGAAATGCGGCTCCGAATGTCACGGATGGAGCACAAAGCAAGAAATGATCCTCCGCAAGGTCTACAATATCTTGGCGGAGGACATGGAGCTCGAGAGTTATCAATTAGGCGCCAAGCTGAGACCGATCTCCGATCTCCATCAGGGCGCTGCGATGAAGCGATATCGTTCTCCTAAGGAAATTGAGATGGAGCCCGGAATGGGGACAACAACTTTGATCCATGAAACGCGGTCGCTCGAGTCCGAAATGTTAGTACAGTAATCGACCCGAAGATCCACCCAACGCCACTTGGGCAGTCAACCAGGCAGGCAGCGAAATGTCTCGAGGGACAGCAGCGAAAAGAGAAAGTAAACAACTCCCCAAGGGTTGGGAGGAG